GGCGACAAGCAGCCCAACAGGGCGACAAGCAGCCCAACAGGGCGACAAGTAGCCCAACAGGGCGACAAGTAGGAGGAGCCGACAGACGTTCCAATAATGCGGGAAGTAGCGAAAAACCTTCCCGTACCCTCGAGAACACAGAAGCCAACACTAGTCCCGAAGGCACACGAAGGCGCAGGCGCACCTGAGATCAGAAGTCACGCAGAACCCCATTGAACGGGGAAACATGACGAAAACACCGTCCCAAAAAAGGGTGGGAGGAAACATCCACCCACAGGACGGAACCAACCGACTCAAAGGCCAAGGAACCGAGCCCGGGGAGAGGCTGACGCCCAACAGCACATACGGCGAGTGGGGAGGAAAAACCCCACTCCGCGTAACCACAAGCCCCACCTAGAGGGGGATAAAAACCCCCACGGGGTCCAATGGGGCCAAGGCCCCCCCAAGTCAGCCCCTTCCCAGCCCCGGGAACCTACACGACAGGCCCCGGGGCCGAGCCGTTCCCCCCAAAGCCCCGGCCGTACCAGAAAACCGGGGCAGCCGTGAAAACACTAATGAAGGGAGCCCACTGGCAGACTCGTACAACACGGCTGGAGGAACAGACTCAAATGCCCCCGTCACTACCCCGGAAGGGGAATTCCCCGAGACTGCCCGAGTCTCAACACCATCAAAAACCCCGCCCCGAACCTACAGACAGTAAGGAACCGGATGCAGGCAGGAAGGGTGATCCAGGGGAAAGACAAGGGGGCGTGGATGGAACCGAAGCAACCAACACCCCCAAGTCCCAAAACGAACTACAACGGGGCAGCCCCGGGGCTCCCGGGGAGGAAACCACGAGAACGTTGCCACCACCAAGGCTCAAGTGCAACGCCCCTACTGCCCGCACCCGCTTTGTTAGCACAACCGGGTAACCGAGCCACAACGAGCAACCAAACTCGCAGGACTCCGGGTCGAAGGTGTCACCGACCCCACAGGCAGCAGACGGAGGCAAAACAGAGAGTCACCCAGAGACAAAGGGTGAGAGCAACCCTCAAACTCGCTGGAAGCGAGGGGGGGACTCTGGGGTCACATCCATCGGACCCGCGCGCCCCCAGGGGTTTCCCAGGGTCCCGAGCGTTTACTATAAGAGGGCTCACGCTCAGGTAATCCCAGGCAGGGTACTGCTAACCGGCACCCAAAGCTACCAAACAACTTTCTAAGAGCTGAACCCCCGGGACGTGTACACTCACGGGGACCTAGCAGGGGTACCACCAGAAAATACTCAGAACACAAGGGACACAAGGGGCAAGAACGAAGGCAGACCCCCCACCAGGTAGATAAACAAAAAGAAAAAGAAAACCCCGCAAGAGGACAGCATACCCAAGCGGAACAGAGCCGGCCGCTATGATTGGTAAAGACAAGCTGCACAGTACCCTGCTCCCCACCAGTGCAAAAACTGCCCCTTACTCCAAGGTGAACAAGGGAGACAGAACACCCGAGCACACAAAGAGCGGCCGAAAACCAAGCAGTAAACGGCCAAGCAGGGGCAGGACCCAAGGAACTTGTGGAAGGTGGCCCCAAGCCCCGAGGGTAGTACTTACAGGGCACCTAGGGAAGGGAACCCTAGGCGCATGCAGCCCGAGTACTGAAGAATCACTCCCGGCTCACGCACCACCTAGAAAACAGACACCACACTCTAGGTACAGTGCTGAAACAACCACTGGAGCCGGAGCACATAACCATTGCCTATAGCATCAGCCGAAGAACTGATGGGTGGATAGATGGCGTGGGAGGTCTGGGGCTCCCCCTTCCCCCTCCCGGGGAGGGGGGAACTGCGCAGACAGCGGCGCTGTGACGTATGACGTCATACTAGTTTCCTTGTTTTCTGTTGAAGAGTTCTATCCACTAGTTCGGCTTTAGGTAGCAATTTTCACCAGAATAGGGGTTTGTTTTGGAATGCTTACCTTTCTGGATGCTTGACCCGGTCGATGGCAGACATAGAATGCTTCCAACCACACGGGGGTTTCTATAGGCCATTGCTCCCCTTGCCTCTCTGAGGGGGCCAGGTTCTGGCTCCTGGTCCCCGGTAGGCCCTAGAACTCCATACACATGACTGATGCCAAAGTCTGACATTAGCATATCAGCCGGTAAAGCTCCGGGGAGCCGACGGGGCTCCCCCCAGAAAAGTGTTTCATATAGGAAGAGGCCTAATCATCAAACATACCAGCAATATTGACCAGACCACACACTAGAAAGTGAAGGGACGACGACGTTTCGGTCCGTCCTGGACCATTCTCAAGTCGATTGATTCTCACAATCGACTTGAGAATGGTCCAGGACGGACCGAAACGTCGTCGTCCCTTCACTTTCTAGTGTGTGGTCTGGTCAACATACTTCATCCACATTATTGTGACTCAGCCTGCATACCAGCAATACATACAAGCAGGAAGCAACTACATGGTAGTGAGAAGTGAGGCAGAAAGAAACTTTGAGAAAGAGGTAACAGACAAATGTAAAACAGAACCAGGCCTTTTCTATAAATTTATTAAAAGCAAGCTGAATGTAAAGGATAAAATCTAGGGATTGACAATAGGGAACAGAGTCACAGAATAAAAAGAAAATGTGTGAACAACTAAATGAACAGTACCAAAGTGTGTATGTGCAAAATGAGGCTTTTGCAAAACACCAAAGACATGTCTCCATATTTTGGAGACAGAGCTTACATACTGGTGTTATTTCCAACATGCCTAAAACAGCAGAGATTGCACCACTTCACAGAGGAAGCAGTAAAGATGAAAAAAAAAAAATTGTCATATAGCTCTAACATTGCACATCATAAAAAATCTTTGATAGAGTGCTAAGATCATCACAAAACACATGGAATCACAATATCTACCAATACATAATGCCAGACAACATGGGTTCCAAACAAGGTGCTCCTGCCTCTCACATGTGCTAGATCACTATGACATGGCATTAGATGCCATAGAAGACAAGCAAAACACTGATGTAATATACAGTACTCAGTTTGCAAAAGGTTTCGACAAGTGTGACCATTGTGTTATTGCACACAAAATGCAATCAAGAGGAATTACTGCCAAAGCAGGAAGATGGATTCTCAACTTCCTATTGAATGGAATTCAAGAGTATAACGGTCAACAATGAAAAATCCAGATCATCCATGAAAAGCTCAGTCCCCCAAGTACTGTGATTACTCTAGTACTTTTTCACACCCTCATATAAGACATAGACAAGGATACTAACTATAGCACTGTGTCATCCCTTGCATACGACACTAGGATTTTTATGAGAGTAGACAATATAGAGAACACAGCAAACCTCCAATCTGATGCTAATGAAGTCTTTAAATGGGCCACAGAAAATAATATGATATTTAATGGAAACATTTCAGCTACTGCACTATGGAAAAAACGAAAATACCAAAATGGAAACCACATACAAAAAGCAATCAAGCTACACTATTGTAAAAAAAAAAAGCAATATCAAAGATTTAGGAGTAATCATGTTGGAAGATTTTACTTTCAAAGAACATAATAAAGTAACTATCACAACTGCAAAAAATGACAGGTTGGATAACAAGAACCTTCCAAACAAGAGATGCATAGCAATGATGATACTCTTTAAAACACAAGTGCTTTCTAGGGTGGAATATTGTTGCTCACTAACAGCCCCTTTCAAAGCTGGAGAAATTGCCGACTTGTTGAGCATGCAAAGATCTGTTACTGCTAGAATTCTCAATAAATCTTCTAAATTATTGGGATCACTTAAAAATTATAAATCTGTACAGTACTCCCAAGAGTGCAGGCAGGAGACAATAATTTTCACTTAGAAAATACTAGAAAGATTGATAACAAATTTACACACAGGAATAACACCAATTGAGACCAGGAAGTTTAGCAGGATGTGCAAAATAGCCCTATTGAAAAGCAGAGGTGCAATAGTTACTCAGAAAGAACTCTATCAACACTAAAAGCCCAAGACTTTTCAATGCACTTCCTCCACACGTAAGGGGCATAACTGGCCAACCTCTCACAGTGTTCAAAAGAGAAATTGATAAACACCTTCAAAGGATACCTGATCAACCAGGCTGTAAGTCATATTTCAGGCTTCAAGCAGCCATATCAAACAGCCTGGTTGACTAGACCACCAGCCAGAAGGCCTGATCAGAGACCGGACCACGGGGACGTTGATCCTCGGAATCATCGACAGGTAGTTGGGGTGATAATGAATTCCCCTGCTCCCTGCACGTCTATGACAGGGGTCAGATTTTTCCCTCTAGTCTCCAGTAGGTTTTTGAGGTCTTGGAAGACAAGATGATATATATGATGAGATGGTTAGGGGCTATCTCAGTGTGGCTAGCAACAGGGAGCCACCTTTTGGCCCTTCCAAAAAACAAATTGATACCTTATAATTTATGCAAGTTTGCCCAATAATCTCTTGAACCCATTGCAGACAGTTTAACAAAATCTATCAGAATGAGCTGGATGATTGTGTGTGGCCATTCTTCAACAATTTGAACCTTGGCACTTCCTGCCTCTATTTATATCAAAGTAAAATTATACTCTGTTCATAAAACCATGATGTACTAAACAATTGTGCACTTAAATTAAAAATAATCACTTATATTTTCTGCCCACATGCCTTAGAATCTTCTTTGTAGCACACCAGAAGTTTGCTGATATACAAATATCGAATATTAGTTTCAAAATATGTACTTTACAGTACTGTATTATGCATTTTTGTGATCCTCTGTAATTTTATCAGATGTGCACATTTTTTAGTACAGTACATTTGCTAAACATAGTCCTATAGGAGAAACCAGGTTTTGGAAATATTGACCATAAAGGGTTAATTAATTGCAATGTTAGAAACAGGAACCTACAAAAGTAATCAATTTATGGAAAAACTTATTGAAATTGATACAAATAACAGGGATAAGATATGAAAGGTCTCTACAACTATTAGGTAACTTGAACAACTGGATATATATATATACATACTGCAACTGTGCTTCTCTCTGTCTTTTAGGTGTGTTAGGGTCTTGTGAAAATTCTTTCTTCCATTTCTCTATATTTTCCTTGTACTGCTTCTTGTACTGTGACTGGAAGTGTTTAAGCTCAATAATATGTCTACCATTTATGTCCTTTTGAAGGTTCTTTTCTGCTACCGAACACATATCCAGCTTTTTCTCTTGCTCTTTTTCATGTTTCTGGAGGGAGAACAAAAACTACAATGAATGGCTTTTTTTGCTTGACTGTTAAGAATAATACATAATTGTCAATTATTTTGCCTGGATTATACGTTCAGATAATCATATACATGTAACAAGAACATACTGAAAAGTAAATTTCATTAACAATTAAATAGTAGAATAAACTAGGCTGGCAAAAAATAGTATGCATAATGTGCATTTACACTGAGGTTGGACTATCAAGAGAGACAACTGTACTAGACACATAGAAAGGGAAGGTGGCGCCGAACAGTATAACTAACCTGTCTTAGTTTCTCAAGTTCCTTGCTGAACTGGGAGAGTAAAGCCTCATATTCCTTGTCCAGCATGTGCTTGTGATTCTCCATCTCAACACGACATTTCTCCTCAAGCTAACCATTATGAAAACATAGAATTACTGTATTAGCATACTGTATATGTAAAGAAATTAGAGTAATTTTTCTTTAAATTCCCTACACATAAATAAGATAGATTTTTTTTTAATTGTCAGGGGAAAGCGCCAAGCCATTATACTACTTCACCTGACAATTAAAAAAAAAAGAGAGATAAGAGTTTTCCATGATGTTAAAATACTTACGTCCTCAATGTGCATCGACTCCAGAAAATAGTACAGTACAGTACTTACAAAGCCTGAATAATTATGTTAATACTTTCGACCATTGGTGACGGATATTGCGTCCATAAATAACTCTACAGATGTCCTGTAGGGACACGTCTTGCGTCCAAAATTTAAATATTTGTTAAAATTCCATTTTTTCTGATCATTATGGGACGTGTTTTAAAATGAGTGTCAACGTCTTCCCATTTTCTGTGATGGCCCATGTGACACAATGTTTAGCTTTCAAGGTTTATGATCCAAATAAACCTGATAAGTATGGAGTAAAGCTGTACATGCTGGCTTGTAATACAAATTACTCAGCTGGCTTGGTCTCAGATTAGCCGTGTGGTGCTGCTGCTAGAAGAAACCCTCGTATCGTGGATAAACTCGAACCTCTGAAAAGGAACTTGACCCATTCCCTAATTCGCATCACGAAAGGTCTGAAGTGTCATGTCTGCTACAATTCTGGCAAAAAGGAGGACACCAGGTATAAGTGCAAGTTGTGTGGTGTGGCATTGTGTGCTGCACCATGCTCCGGCTTGTACCATCGCAAGAGGACATACTGGGTGGATAAGTAGTAATACTTATCCCCCCAATCACTCCACCTATATAACATGGGTTGAGAAACTTCAGGAAACATTTTCCTGGAGCAGGTGGAGTAGTTCAACCTAATACTCAACTCATGCTCTACAAACATCGTTGGGTGGTAAGTACAGACATGTTTCTGCATTCATTTATACATACGATATTGTGGTACAAACACTTATGTGAAGGAAGCAACACAAAATCGAATGATAGTGTCACAAATAATGTCGGGAATGAATAACAATGTAAAAAAATGATAAAAAGCCCCAGTTTTTCACATGACAATAAACTTTATCTTATGGTATTGGTAATGTTCTTCCATTTGCCCTTATATGCATGTATCCCTTTAGAGCATTCTATTGCGAACAATTTGATACCAAAATGAGCGATGTAACACAAAAATTGATGTGACAAAACTGAAAAGAGTATACACATTTGAGTGCGGGTGTTGCGGGTGTGCGGATGGGTGCTCGCTCACGGGTAACGCTCAGCAGATTTTTTGGTTTGCTGCAGGTAGTGTGCCTGTTTGTTTTACTTTATATGCATATATCCCTTTAGAGAATTCTATTGCAAACAATTTGATACCAAAATGAATGAAGCAGCAGGAAAATTTAAGTGAGAAAACTGAAAAAAGTATACACATTTTAGTGTGGGTGTGCTGATAGGTGCTCACTCACGGGTAACGCTCGGCGAATTTTCTGCTTTGCTGAGGGTAGCATGTTTGTTTTACCTAATATGCATATATCCTATTAGAGAATTTATTGTGAACAATTTGATACCAAAATGAACGATGTAACACAAAAAATGATGTGAGAAAACTGAAAAAAGAGTATACACATTTTAGTGTGCGTGAGCGCTTATGGGAAACGCCAGGCCCACCCCAAGATGGGCTGGGGTGCGGATGCCGGGCAGCTCAAAGTGTTAAGAGAAGAAAACAACTTAAATATGGCTCTATTTATTGAATCCAACTAAATATCTACCCATATACATTAGTTATTTTTTTTAAATCCCTATGCCATAACCACGGTGTTTTACACTATGGCAAGACTATTCCAGTTTCAGTGCCGAGTGATCGAGCTAAGTAAGCCTAGAGCTTATCCTTGTGTTCACTGATCTTGGTTATGTCTCTGCTATGGGGCCAGATTCACGAAAGCACTTACACAAGCACCTACGAATGTGTACATCTTTCCTCAATCTTTGACGGCATTGGTTAGATTTATTAAACAGTTTACAAGCATGAAAACTTCCCATTCAACTGTTGTTATTGTTATAAACAGCCTCCTGGTGCTTCGGAGCTCATTAACTGTTTAATAATTGGAAACAAAGCCGCCATAGATTGAGAAAAGATGTAGAGGTTTGTAAGTGCTTGTGTAAGTGGTTTCGAGAATTTGGCCCATGGCCTTTACCAACATCAGGGCTCTAACTTTGTTTAAATATGGTACCTCCTATAGATACTGCTATACCAATTTACTGTATGAGCTTGGTTATCCAAAGTGCGATGAACCAAATATTTAGGCTATCCGGCTAAAATAGGGTCCCAGTAGTTCAGGGTATTGAATCAAAAGAGTTTAGGGTCCCAGTAATACATTCCTTTGGAAGGGACGTTCCCTTCCGAAGGGAAGGGACCCGAAGGGACACGGAACCAAACCCGGGGAGGAGCCGACACCAAATCCAACTCATATGCTGAGAGGGGAAAAGAAAACCCCACTTCTTGTAACAGTAAGCCCCACTCAGAGGGTAGGAAAACCCAGGTGGGGTCCAATGGGGGCCCAAGGCCCCAAGTCAACCCCTTCCCAACTCGGGGAACCTCCACACCAGGACCTGGGGTTGAGTGGTCCTCCAAAGCCCCAGCCTCACAAGAAAAAACCGGGGCAGCCGGAAAGGCAGGAAGGAAGGGGGCCCACTGGTCAGACCCTGTCTCCACGGCTGGAGGAACCAATTCAAATGCCTCCGTCACCCCCCCACCCCCCCTCGGGAAGGGGTTACCCCCAAATCTGTCTGAGTCTCAGAACCTTTTAAATCCTGCCCTGACCCCGAAGCCCTCAGACACTTCGGAGCCGGATTAGGGGGAGGTGGGGGGGACCAGAATGAACCACAGCAGGGAAAGAACATGGGGGTGCAGACTGAACCAAGGCAGAAGCGACCCCCACCCCCAAAGTCCAGGTCCCTGTAAGCAAAACAGGGCAGCCTCAGGACTTCCGGGGGTAGAAATCAACCTAGCGTGCTGCAGCAACCTAAACCTAACATGCAATGTCTGAGCCGCATGTACCCGGATGAGTCATCAGTGGTCTGCGTGAATTGAGTCACAAACAAGCAACAAATTTTGCAGGACTCTGGGTCGAAGGTATCACTGACCCAACAGGCAGCATGACAGAGGAAAAATAGCAAGAATCGCCCTGAGACAAGAGCAACAGAGCAACCCTCAAACTCGCTCAAGGCGAGAGGGGACCCCCAGGGGTCGCATCCACTGAACCCCTTGTGCCCCTGTGGGGTTTCCCAGGGCCCATAGACTGGTATTGCTCAGGATAAGCCCAGGCAGGGTACTGCCGACTGGTGCCCAAGTCTACCAATCAAACCTCTAAAAGCTGAACCCTCAGAACGTGTCCACTCATGGGGGCCTAGCAAGGGATGTCACCCAGAAACACAGATAAGTATCGAAACCTAATATAGACAGGGAGCAAAGAACCAAAATCAGACTTCCCCACCAGGCAGGAAAGCAAAAACAAAAGAAAAACATCACAAGAAGACAACATACCCAGGCGGAACAGAGCAGGCTGCTATAATAGGTGATATCTAGCTGTGCAGTAACCCACGCCCCACCAGTGCAAACAACCCCTTACCCTAAGTTAAACAAGGGAGGAGGAAACCCCCCAGCACACTAAGGGCAGTCAATTACCGAGCAGCAAAGAGCCAACAGAGGAGACCCCAAGGTGACTTGTGGAAGATAACCCCAAGCCCTAAAGGCGGTACTTACAGGGCACATAGGGAAGGGAACCCTAAGTACATGCAGCCCGAGTACCTGTAATTACCTAAGTGTAGTTACAGGATGAGAGCTACACTCGTGGTGTCTCATCTCCCCAGCACTCTTTGTCATATAATGCTTTAAAATTACTGACGGTTTTGGCCTCCACCACCTTCTCACCTAACTTGTTCCAACCGTCTACCACTCTGCTTACAAAACAAATTTGGGTGGAACTCTGGACTGAGAGGCCGCAGAGGACGCTCCCACAGCTGGGCTACGATGGCTTTTACAAAAAGGTGGAACTGTGGACTGCGAGGCCTGGGAGGACACTCCCACAGCTGGGCTACGACGGCATCTAAAGAAGCTATGCCATTGGGTGGAACTCTGGACTGCGAGGCTGCAGAGGACACTCCGGTAGGTAAGGTAAAGTTTCCGGACACAGGTCCAGAGGACCTGTGAAGATTACTCCCAGCTCATGCACCACCATGAAGACAACACTAAACACAAAGGCACAGCACTGGGACAAGACACAGGAGCTGGAGTCACACGGCCAAGCCTAAAACACATCAGCCGAAAATTGGGGTGTGGGTACCTGGCACAAGGGTCTGAGGCTTCCCCTTTCCTCAATCCCAAGGAGGGGGAAGCTGTGCAGATGGCGGCACGGCACGTGGTGACATCATACTTGTTTTTCTTTGGGGGAGTTCTGTCCACTCGTTTGGCTTTTAGTAGTAGTTTCAACCAGAATAGGGGTTTGTTTTGGGATGCTTACCATTCTGGGCGCCTGACCCGATCAATGGCAGACATAGAATGCTCCAAATCACATGTGCATTTCTATAGGCCAATGCTCCTTGTGCCTCTCTGAGGGGGGCCAGGTTCTGGCACATAGTCCCCAGTAGGCCTAAGAACTCCATTCACACTGATGCTAAAGTCAACGTATGAACTCGGCGTAGGCAGTTCTACTCATCTCCAAGACTCTACAGCTTCGACACATAACAGACAGCAGACTAGGACCACATCGAGCTACAATGCTCTCCCACATAGAGCTCCACAATTCCGGCCACACTCAGCTCTCTGCTCTGCTCCAAGCTCCGTCTCAACGTCTACGACACTGCTGTATCCAGGACTACTAAATAAATATGAAACTCACTAAATACTGTATCTAATCTACCCAACAACATAACATAATTGTACGTTACATTTGTAACGTACCAATGTAATGGATGGTTTCATAACATACTAGCCTGGATAAGCTCCGGGAAGCCAAGGGGGCTCCCCCCAGAAATAAGGTTTGAAGTATAAATAATTAGCTCTTTTCTGAACAAAATATTCAGTTGCTTTGATTCTCTCCCTTTTGCCCGAGCTTCCCAAGAGCTTTATAGATGGCTTTTGTCAAGCAGAACGTGAAGTATGCACAGTTAGAGTACCTTCTGGATACATGGGTGCTGCCCTCTTAAAATATTAACAATTACGTACCAAGCTCTATATACAATTTCATATTGTTATCTTTAATTCAGCTTTGCATTTTTCATCTCGCATCCACTCATGGGAGACCTTACACGAATTACGCTATAAAATTTTTGTTTCTATACTACACAATGGATATGAATTCTCTAGAAGTAATGTACAGAAAGAGAACAAACATAATCCCTCATCAGGAGTCTTTATTATAATAATGAAGCCGAGAGCCTTTTAAAATGCACAAAACATGAGCCGTTGTGATTTTAAGTGAACAAATAAATGACAGGCAATAATGAAGGGAGATGCAAATTTTATATTTAAAATGTCAAATAAAATTAAAACAATGGATTCACATTGATTGAAGAAATTCAGTATATAGACAAAAATAAAACAAGTTTAGATTTAGAAAGACTATTGGTTTAGATAGGAAATGGTTTGGCAAGTACTGTGCAGTAATATCACTGCAGACATGTAAGCCTTGAAGAGCTTATAAAATAGCTTAGAACATAGAAATTAAGCAGCTGGGTATAAAAAAAAAAATACTGAATAAAGATTTGATGGATAAGGTTATTTATACATTTGTCCTCAAATATGATGACAAACCATAATTCCACCACCATCAACTCTGGACCTCTTACCTTAGCTTGAGCTCGTTGGTGTTCTTGACGCATGCGTTTGTACCCAGACATGGCAGCATGCATATCTTCCTGAAGATGTTCCTTCTGCTGCTTGCTAACAATGGACGTCGTCTTTATGGTGGCAAAATTACTAGTGCCAACATCCACGAGGTTGCCACCCGGCTGTATTTCATAACAAGTCTTTAGAATTTAATGAAGCTAAACAAAAGCTAAACATCAGACTAACTCAACTTTTAATACCATTATAATTTACATCATATAACATGAATAAAATTGATGATGACAAACAATAATTTTATATTCTAAACTACAATTCATTGCTATTTAAAATTAAACATTTAAATTATATAGTGAAATTTCCATGACAATTTTATGTTAAATTATGTCAAACTTCTCCAGCATTATCATAACACTAAATACTAAACTAATAACTGACAAACAGCCACATAATTTGTTTAGTCTTATAAGTTTAAGTTAACCAAGCCACACCTCCTGAAAGGCTATATATGTAGAAGAAAGAATTTCATAGCCTCCCAAAGTTAACATGCCCAAACTTTAACTGCAAGGGAAAACAAATTCATGCTGCTTGGTTTTCAAGGGCTCTATACAAACATAGGAAACATTAATTAAGTACCTTAAATATTATTAGTTTAGAGGATAGGGCAGATACCTTTGAATTCAAGTGGTATTTGTCAGGATTCCACTTCCTTATTCAACAATGAGCTATGAAATGAGACCCTACTCTAAAGCCAACAGTAAATGAAGTAAACACCAGATATTACACAAGGTTGCATTCCAGGACCTACTTTCAATCTGCAGAGTGCATACTGTACTACATTTCTTAAAGTATTATTATAAACAGTATGTTAGAGTAAACAACCTAGTCCAAAAGCCTATAGATGTGAGTCAGTCAGTGTTCTCTGTCTGTTGAAGGAAGTGTAAAAAGTAAGATATTTCAAGGAATATGCGGTAAAACTTAAACTATATAAATCTTTTCCAATCTGATCTCTACTGGCTAACACAGAGTAGGGCTTGAATAACCTCTCCAAATACTTTCAAATCACATACAGTACATATGAACAAGTGATGAGCAGAAATTGCCACAAATGTAACTTAAGCACTGAATCTAATCACAAAAGTAAAATGAGCAAATGGTGTTAATCTTCCAGATACAGTATTTTACAAATAACAATAATAATTGTGTCGGGGACAGGCAACCAGCGTGTATTCATACATGTTAGGCTTATATTGAGCCCCCCCCCCCCCCCAAGGTAAAATTATTGACCCCACCCCAGGATGCAACCCCCACAACAAGCTGACTAACTCCTAAGTACCTACTTACTGCTAGGAGGACAGGGGGATTAGGAGATCGGAAATGCACCCAACCTTTTCTGTCCAGCCCGGAGAGAAATCCCGTTCGAATCCCACCTGGGATTCGCACCCGGAATTCTCAAGAGTTGAGAGCGAACCCGACTGTACTACCAGGATCCTCTAATCTTTTCATACTCTTAAGGCACAAAGTTCTAGATTAAGAGAGGACACAATATTTACTTGAAATTCCCTACATTCTAAAATCATTTTAAATGATGACAAATTTACTAAGAAAGTTGCAATTCAATCTTTCACAGGAATATAAAATTCATCGTTAGCACTTTTGCTGCAGCACACTCTGAAAGGTTTCATTCCCATCCAGGATAGAAAAAGTAATGAAATAATATTTCTGGAGAAGACCCCAGTGGCTCCTTCAAGCAATCACGTGGAGATTGCTAAATGCAATGGGTCATATCAGATGCGGAAGTTCTGTTGAGCCTACCAGGGATCAGAACTCCCCCCCCCCCCCTCCCCCTCAAAGGTGCAGAGAGCAAGTGAAAATTTGGCACCACACCAGGATAGCATAAAAAAATCAGTGAATCATTACAAACAACTGGAGGGTTAACAAAAACTGAATCCTTGAAAATGCCAAACAACTCTGCAAACAATTCACACGTAACAAAGAGAAACATTCAACATTAGCACAAAGATCATAATAGCGAATGCCACCACCAGATGGTCAGCCTTCTGCACACAGCCATTTTACTTGGCAGTTCTTTCGTTGAAATCCTGCAGGACACTACTGATCCAAGTCTTGCAGACGTGCCAAGCACCTCTGTTTCAAGCTAAGTACAGTACTGGCCATCCTTGGATTTGCTCCTGTGGGGGCAATTTTCATTGTATTCTGGTCTGTATTTTAGTTTTTGCTTCATGTGTGTATTTTCTATCCAGTTTATTGTGAGTGATTGACTTTATTGTGTTTTAGACTGCATGCACCCTGGAGTTCCTCCCAGGATGCCCACTAGCAATGCCCCCTGCACTCCTGAACACATCAAATACCTTCTCTGATGTGTACAGGAGTGTGCCTAAGATGCCAAGCCACTGGGATAGCCTTGGGCTATTCACAAATCTTCGATTTCTCTGTTTGGGCACTTGGCTGGGGGCATTCTGTTGGTTGTCCTGGGGCACACCGGGGTTTGCATGTTTGCTTATATGACATGCTGCAATTGCCAATCATGGCCAGGTTATTTTCACTGCACTTGGCATCTGTCTGGGAAGCATCCTCAGTGCCTGGGTGTTCTGCTTGGTTAGTTGCTTTCAGGCCCAGATAACCCCGTCGCGGGTCGTTGGGGTGGTTGGTTCAGCCCATCAAGCCCACACTCTCCATGTGGGCAAGTGGCAGCTCCAGGTGCAGCTGCCTGTGCTTTCTGGTGCTCTTACTGTGAATGACCTCAAGGCATATTTAAACTTAACAGCAATCTTGCGGATTTGGGTATCATTGAGGGGCTCCCTGGGCAGTTCCATGAGGATGTGGCTTCATACGGTACCACCCCTGGTGTTGAGGTCTTGAAATCTGCAATTCCTATCTTGACAGCCTTACCCAAACTGCTCACCATTTTCCTTCAGGAGATTGTGGAAGCATTTTATTTGGTCCTCCTCGCATGTTGACAGGCCGCGTTGGTTCATTTGTAAGATTCTGCATTGACATTTTTTTTGTCTGCCTCCCCTTACTTGCCTCTCCTCTTTCCAGAGGATGTAGTGTCCACGTTCTGTCTGTGGTGGCCATTTCCTGTCAGCCCATGAACAAAATTTTCATGGAGTTCCGCCCCTATGTGGTCTGATAGGGATGGGACCTCACCTGCTGTTGGTCAAAGTAGGTCCTCAGTGGAGCGAGAGTCCCAGGTTACTGCATTTTCTTTTGTGAATTCCTTTTCTGTTAGATGTCACAACTATGCATTGTAGAAGGGTTATCTTGAGATGATTTCGGGCTTAGTGTCCCCACGGCCCGGTCCTTGACCAGGCCTCCTTTTTGTTACACATCCCCTAGGAAGCAGTCCGTAGCAGCTGTCTAACTCCCAGGTACCTATTTACCCAAGATGAACAGGGGCATCAGGGTGAAAGAAACTCTGCCCATTTGTTTCTGTCTCTGTCCGGGATCAAACCCAGAACCTTTGGACTACTAATCCAAAGTGTTGTCCACTCAGCCGCCAGGCCCCTGGCCAGGGTGTTAGGGTAGCTAGGGTGAGTGGAAGGGTGGTTCCACTCGTGGTACACCCAGCCTTTTGGGGTTTACTCCTTTGACAAACCCATTGGGTGGCAACTGGCTCTTTTTGTTAGCTCCCATGCCCGATGAGGGGGAGAGCAGACCTACAGTACACCCTCAACCTTTCAGTTTTGACCACTTTCAATCCCTCTCCAACCTTCCACTTGTCCACCTTGGCTCAAGTGCACCTGGTTTTACAGCGTGGAACCTGGATGGTGTCCTTGGACCTCAAGGATACATACTGGCATATTCCTATTTATTTCAGGTTCAGAGATTGTTAGAATTTGTAGTGGGGCATCAGGCTTGTCGCTTCAAAGGTTCTCTCATTTGGTTTAAATATGGCTCCTCCGTGTGATTACCAGGTTGACACAGGTGATTGTGGCCCAGTAACACTTTCTTGGGGTTTGTGTGTTGATCTACCTTGACTAATGGCTGGTTTGAGCTCCCAGTCAGTCCATGTGTCAGCAAGCCAGGGATCTGGTTCTTTCCCAGCTTGTCAGGTTCAGGTTTCTGGTGAACTTGTGAAAATCCCAGTTGGTTCCATCCCAGATTCGAACTTGGATGGGCCTCATTTGGGACTCTCAGTCGGCTTCTCTTTCCCTGACTCCAGCAGCTTTACGCTGTCTGCAGCTTCATTGCGAGCTGGTGTTGGATCAGCTCTAGCAACCTACTGGTAAGTTGTGTGGCTGTATAGGAGCCTCAACTTTGCCTGTATTGTCTTTCCCTGGGCAGAGTTTGATTCCAGGCATTGTTCCAGTTTCTTCAGTTCCATTCATTTTGCAGTTCCCAGGATCAACAGGACCCCACCTGCCCTTCGTCGGCATCTGTCCCGATAGCTTCCTCTTCTAGCTTTCCGAGATTCGGCTCCATGGTGTCATCCTTCCCCATCACTCGATGTGTTCAAGGACACTTCGGCTTCGGGTTAGGGGTTTGTGAACAGTGCTCAACCAAGTGGCCTATGGTCAGTAGTTGGGCATGTTACTTCATTTTCTCAGGGTTTGGTTTTCCACGTAGTTCACATAAGGGGTGTGTCCAACATTATTGCAGACGGGCTATCTCGCCTCCGTTCAATTTCTACAGATGTGGATGTTTCTAGATTGGTATCTCATGCCTAAATCTGTCACCTCCTATCACTCAGTGTTGGAAGAGATGCTGTTGCTTGTATTCAGTGTAGACTTCCTCAGCACCATTCCACAAGTTGTCTCATGCGTTTTTTCATCTCCGGCCAGCTCCTGCTCCTCTTTAGCCATCCTGGTTTCTTGACCAGGTGTTGGTCTTCCCGTCCTCACTTCGTTTTGCAGCATCTCTTTTGGCTCGTAATATCTTTTCCAAATCTGTGTGTTTGTTGACTCTCACCTCTGACTGTAGGGATGAGGAGCTTTAGTTTTCTCTGGAGGTAAATGTTTTGTTCATTTGGCCCAGGTTCATTTGCAGCCTTATTTTCTGGCAAAAAATGAGTCGGTTAACTTTTGGAAGGCTCCATTGGAGAATGATGCACCACCAGACACAACATCACATCTTGTGTCTGGTGGTGGTTCTTTGCTGTTACCTGCAGGTCATTGGTTCTGCCAAGGTGAATACTTTCTAT